CTCTGGGGAAAGGATCAAGAACTATCGGGCGGCAGCTGCAAGGTTAGCTGGGAACGGGTCTGCTCCCCGGTTGAGCACGGCGGACTTGGTGTCCTGAACCTCTCAAAGTTCAGCCGCGCGCTACGGCTGAGATGGCTATGGCACAGCTGGATAAACCCCTCTCGGCCTTGGGTGGGTACGGAGCCACCATGCGACGCCTCGGATCATGCTCTTTTCAACGCAGCGACGGCCGTTACTGTCGGCAACGGCAAAACGGCGAGCTTCTGGCACTGCTCATGGCTAGGGCTGGTGCCACTGAAGTTCTGCTTCCCGTCTGTCTTCAAGCACTCCAGGCGCAAGGGCAGATCTGTGGTGCAAGCCATCAACGGCGACTGCTTGGTTTTGGACCTAGCGCATGGCAACAGCGTCGACCTTATCAGCGAGGTTGTCTCCCTGCATCGACTCATTCAGCGCCGCCAGCTCAACCTTCAAGTAGAAGAGCGGGACCAAATACGCTGGAGCTCGGAGGGGTCAGGCCAGTACAGCTCCCGCTCGGCCTATGCCATCCAGTTTTTGGGATCGGCGTCGGGATTGTATCAGGCCATGATCTGGAAAGCCTGGGCTCCGGCCAAGCTGAAGATGTTTGCGTGGCTCCTCCATCAAAATCGGCTGTGGTGCAATGATCGCTTCCAGCGCAGGGGCTGGCCAAACTGCTACTTTTGCCAGCTGTGTTTGAGAAACCTGGAGACGACGGGGCACCTGTTCTGGAGCTGCCCCTTTGCGAAGACAATCTGGGCAAGTCTATCCTCCTGGCAGCACTGCCAGGGGCTCAGCATCGCGTGCGAGTACACCGACAGCAGCTCGCTGGAAATTATGGAGGCCATGGTAGCAGCGACGTAGCCAGCGCATGCCAAAGGGATCAAGTCGCTAATTATGCTCGTGCTTTGGAAAGTTTGGCAGGAGCGCAACAGCCGCGTCTTCAGGAATCACGAGACGACGGAGCAAGATGTCATCAAGGCCATCAGGAGAGAGTTCTGTCTTTGGCAACAGGGAGGATTCAAGCACATTCAGAGCCCCTTCGGGGATCTGCCGTGAGATTTTAGGGTTCTAGCTTTCGGTGTCGCAGGCACCTCCGCCTTTGTTTTTTTTCTCTCTTTTTGGCAGTTTTTCTTTACTCCTTGATCCCTGGATCATCGCCTTTGCCACTTTGTCATCTGCTCCCTGCTTAATCAATGAAACACCAACCATGGCTGGCCAGTTCAAAAAAAAAAGCCACTAGGAAGGCAAAATTTAGGGGGTGTTTAGAGTTGCTCATTTGAAAGAAATGTTTTGTGGCCTATTGATTATTCACGAGAGTGATCCTTCGAGGGAATCAAGGGATGCAAAATGTATAAATAAGCAAATGACATGTCAACCATATCTTAGAATCCCTAGATAAACAACTAGACTAGTCTTTGCACTATAAAACGACGTACACATGCAAAGGATCAACTAGCAGACGATTTGGATTCGATCTTATCCTGCAGTGTATTTTTTTTTTTTTTGGTCCTGCGTATCGACCTCATGTAAGTCCAAGCAACAACAACAACTCCTGAAAAGAAATCCAGGCATTGTCTAGCTAGCTTTTCTTTTAAATGCATTTTCTAGCTACTTAGGTGTATATCTTACTCTACGAGAACGAACCTAAGCTTCTCGTCATTAGAAAATCGATGTTATTACTAGAGAGTGCCGGCCTTCACTGTCTCAATGCAGCCATGGGATGGAGCCTTCTCATACGCACAATCAAACAAAACTAACAAACCATGTGCATCCCCCACGCACCCTCAGAAGATGGAAATAATCATGCCTCCTCAAGTTCACCAAGGGCCACTATATATATCTCCTAAAAAAAGGCTACTATAGGATTCGTGAATCCGCTGGCAAACTGAAGCGGGCCATGAATCCGATCCACTGGTACAGCCTCAACTTACCTCCCTTCCTAAATACTCCCTCCGTCCGGAATTACTTGTCGAAGAAATGCATAAAAACGGATGTATCTATAACTAAAATATGTCTAGATACATTCATTACTCCGACAAATATTTTCGAATGGAGGGAGTATAAGTCTTTTTTAGAGATTTCAATATGAATTACATACAAAGCAAAATGAGTGAATCTATACTCTAAACTACGTCTATATACATTTGTATATAATCCATATCAAAATCTTTAAAAAAACTTATATTTAGATACAGATGGAGTAGAAACTAAAAGGAGAGCTGTCGGAGCACTGACGATGTTTTCAACAAAGGGAATATATTAATATCATCAACATACCAATTACACCCGGCCGGCCTCTGTACCAACAAGATGTCCAAAGAACCACGTGACATATGTTGTAAGCAATTCAAGCTAATAAAAAAAAGATGTCAAAAGACATCAAGGATACACACAGCTAAAAAAAAGAACAGAAGAAAGAAAAAAGACTCCGCCATGGTGAACAATGCTAGCAGAAGCGGCAGCACTCTAACCACCACCAAAGACAACACCCGGAATACAAAAGAGGTTCTCCTAAAGCAACGCATCCAAGAAGGAAACAATGCACAAGCTTTGTCGTTGCCCGATCGAAGATCTCGGGTTTTCACCCAGAGAAAGTCCGAGTTCACCCGAAACAATGCCTTCAACAAGGCCATTGCCAGGTACAACCAATAAAGGCCAGACCTTGGGTTTTCACCCTGAGGATCAAGACTCGGTACTTGAGGAGCACCACCAAAAATGCAGTCCTCCAGTGTTGTCGCCCCCGCTTGCCGAGGCTGCTGTTACAAGTCACCATACACCTGGCACACAATCTTCATAGCATCCAATACACCCTTTCACCGAAGGTTATGACCTCCAATCGCAACCGCCATGACTTTCCCCACCTCTATCAATGCCTTGAGAATCTTGACTTAGACATGTCTCATGGCATGGATAAGAAAGTGAAGCTTCGCGCCCCGTCCTCGTAAGGCCTTGTTGGCTGATAACATGAGCGCGCGACCGGAACCTTTTCGATCTAGATATTCAGGGGCAACATACGCCAATCCATATGTCTTCGACAGGGATGACCGGAACTCGTCAGCAGCCAAATCCAAGAGGTCAATATCCGGTAGAGTGATGACTTGGCGGAAGAAGATTGTTAGGGCCAAGATCCGGCAGAACCAGATCGGGGCAAGCCACCACCATGGAAGGGAGGTCCACCTCGACCCAGCCCATCGCCGGATGGGCCCTCGCCTGAGCCGCGTGCATCGGCGAGAGAAGGTCATGCCGCCGTCCAACAGGATTCCCGTCGGCCGTGGGTGCGCCTCGCATTGCCTGTCATGGCCCGGATCCAGCAGAGCCGGCTGGAGCCAGACGAGGCCGACACCGCCCATGGTCCCCCTAGCATCCACGAACAGGATCCTCAAGAAGCCATGGAACCACTCCGAAGCAGCAATCTGGACAAGCAGCACCGAGCTCGAGCAATGTGGCACGCACATCGTGGATCGGATCTGAGGGCGGATGAAGGTTGGCCAACCTTGGAGATGAAGGGAAAGGATAGCCGAACAGGTGCATCCCGCCGCCGCCGTCAGCACTGACGGCCTCCTTCGGCGACGGCGGAGGAGATGGCCGGCTGGGGAGGCCTTCGGAGTCGCCTGTAGGAGCGACCCGGGAGGCAGAGTTGGAAGTGACTCCCGGTTGGCTGTAGCTACTAAAAATTGGGGGAGAATTTTACTTTCCCGGTCCCTACACCAACTAAGGATGCATACGGCCTTTTATGTACGAGTATTAGGATTTTTAATCTCGATTACTGGTCCTCAAGAATAAATAGAAACCTAAATTCGCCACCATGAAAATTTAAACAATGTTGTTGGGTTGTACATCCACTCCCTCAACCAGTTGAGCTAGGCTCACTCCCCCAAGCACCGGCGATGTGATTCAAAGAAACAATGCAAGGAAGAAGGGACCATGTGAATCAGAGCGCAACATAAGTACACAACAATTGTTCTCATTTTGCTGGATACGAGCAGTTGCCCACCTGAAATTTCAATCTTTTGCGCATACACGTGCATCTATCTATAAATAAACCTTCTTCACAACTAAGATGTTCGTGGCAACTATAGGGTCAGACAGGAGACCGGATGCCATTTGTTGCCGACTTCGGCACGCGCACGCTACTTTGTCTCCATCCAAATGGCACACATCTTTGTCGCACTTTTGGCAAGGAAAAACTCAATTCTAAACCTCAGCTTTGCCGTCCCGCCGCATCCACAGCACGATCACCCTCGATGGCACGCTAACATGCACCTACACCCCTTGACAGCGTCAGCGGCTACAGCAGAAACGAATGCGGAAACACGGCAATAGTAATTTGGCTCATCCACTCCCTGCGTCTGTAGCGTACAACAAATCTTAGACTCCCATCTTTCTGCTTACAACTAACATATTCAGATGGTAAAGTAAGTTTCCAGCTGGTCAAGTTCTTTGACAAGCCTGGGTAGATACAAGTATTTTCTCGTAATCAAATCCTGCTTAACCGTTAAGCAATTTAGTACTAACAAATAAGATATCGTCCTCACTGTTCGATGCAACAGAGCATGCTTGCGAACTATAGCAACAGAAAACGGGCTGACTCTGAAAAAACCCTTGAAAATGTACAGACTACAATGTACTAGGACTAAGGCATGCTGCAAGAAGAGTCTCTTCTTTGGTTTCAATACATACAGCCGCTCGAAGCCAGTAAACTCTTTATTTGCCAGTCCACAGGAAAGAATGCCGCCTTCGTGCCCGTGCTTCTCTTGCTGTGTGCACAAATGTCTAATCTTCTCCGGTCCATGAAACTGTGAAGTGGACTTCGGATTGATGAACCTTGATGAGGCTGAATACATACTTCTGATGATTTCCGTCATATATCCTCCATCTAGGGAACAAAAAACTCCCGCCGAAGGCTTCGACTCAAAATTGTCCCAAAGGTGACCGGGTATACAAACTAAGACCAGCCGCTGATCACAAAAGGAGCTGCAACATCACCCGAACTCAATCCCTAACTGTTGAACTTCTTGAAAAGTGTCTGGCGACAAACTGCTCTCATCTTTCATCTCAATATCAATGGTCTCTGAGTTAATGACCACCCTGCATAGTCCAAGATACCCTCCATTGAAGAGCTCACAATTCTCGTAGAACCCGTCGGCTGGTGGCATGTTGACCATGCAAGATTTCGGGACTATAATGTTTTTCCGTTCCTTAATGGAGTATTCACTCACTGTTAGCACAAGGCGGTGTTTCCTCCCAAGTAACTTGGAGACGTATTCAATGTCACCGACCGACAAAGCTTGGCGAACACGACTAGAAGATACCTGTCCTTTATCGCTTGAATTTACGGCGGGTGTTGCTCCATTATAAGATCCCTTTGCGGTGTCCATGACAGACCGTACAATAAATGCACTTAAACCGAATTCCTCACACAGTTTCGCTAACTCAGCTGCGTCACCAGATGCTTTGTACCCGAATCTGTAGTTTTCACCTGTCATAGTACATGAAGAAAGATATTAGGTAGGGTAGTGCAGCACAATACTGAGCCTTGCAAGGTAAACCAACATGTTTGTACCTGCTACAACACCTTTTATTCTAAGATCCGTTGATAACCTCTCAACAAACTGGCGTGGAGTTAGGTATCTGACCTTTGAAAACTCAACTTGATATTCAAGAGGCACCACATTTCTACAATATGGAGCCCAAGACGAAAGGACTCGCTTCCGATCACAATGAGCAACTATGGGAGGCCTGTACAAAAGGAAAACAGTACTGATTTGTTAAGGACTTCACTATGTCCTCCTTAATATTGGGCTAAATTTACCAAGGAAGTTACTGAAAATTTCTAAGAGGCCCACCTATACTCCCAGCCAAGAACTTCAGCCATTCCAACAAAAGAAAGAAGAAAAGGATTTCCTGATTTAGAAGCATGCATGGCTAGTTCCCGGTGGCCAATGTGAAGGGCATCAAATTTTCCCAAGGCGACTATCCCATCTGAAATGTGCACTGAAAATTCAGTGAAACTGTACAGATGAAATGAATATCTGTGAAGTTAGTGCGACAAGAGGTCATAAGGTGAGTGAAAATCGGCGACCAATTTCTAGTGTAGAACTTGGAATATTTATTTGAGGAAATAGGATTTTGAATATGTGGTAGCAAATTTCCTTTTTAGTGTTCCTCCTGACAAAGATTCAATGTCTGCCATAATTGTGCTGTATCCACTGATGTACATACAATTTCTGGAAGGGAGTAAAGATAAAGCATGGGCCACTTAATGGTCTTAAAAACATGGCTTCTATCAGAGGGGGTCAAAGCATGTTATTTGTGCACAACATGACTTGAAAAAATATGCATATTTCGTTAACTAGGGTGGTTGGATGTGAAACTGGCAAGCACTGAGATTCAACCAAACCAATAAAGAATCAAATGGAAAGCTAACGAAACACCAAATAGTGGTGCATAGAAAACGAATAACTTCCTGAACTGAGCAGTGCTTCAGTGCTTTTCCATGGAAATTTGCAAGATATAAAAGCAATTTTGTTAATTATTTTTATTAGGGGTATGTATGTAAGTCAATGTTCTATGGACTGGGACTGTAACAATTCAAATTGACTCAGATCCAACATTTATCACATTCCAAGATGCTTCAACACCGGTATGTCCCCAACAGAGTGCCATGCCAAGCAAGGGTGCAACGCATGGCACTGCACAAAGACGTCATGTACAATGAGGAACAAATATTGCACATTTCTTCTCTTGAGCCTGCTGTAACGCCCCGGATTTGATGCGCCAGGTGTCTGCCAGTTATTTGCCGTTGTTGCCATGTCATGTGCTTGCGTGTTGCATTTTATCATGTCATCATGTGCATCTCATTTTGCATACGTGTTCGTCTCATGCATCCGAGCATTTTCTCCTTGGTGGGACCTTCGAGTTCCTTTAGGGTAGGGTCGCATCTTGGGCGTGACACCTGCAATCTCTGAACTGCCTCCACACAACAACAATAAAGCCTTTCAGTCCCAAACAAGTTGGGGTAGGCAAGAGTTGAAACCCATAAGACCTTGAAACCAAGTCATGGTTCTGGCACGTGGATAGCTAACTTCCACGCAAGTGAACTGCCACCACACCAAGGTTTTCGAGTCGACGAGTCGTTCTGGGGTAGCGACTCTTGACTAGTCAAGACTCATGGTCGACTAGTCAAGACATGAGTTACCAGGGAAGGAGCAGACCAGTAGCCGCAGCAACGAGGGGAGGAGCAGACCAGCAGCAGCAGCAACCAGGGGAGGAGCAGACCAGCAGGATTGTGGGGTGGCGCCGGCGACCAAGGGAGAGG